CGCGGGGCCACGGCTGAAACTTCTGAGACGTCGCTAGGGGTCGCCATGAGGCTTACAAGGGCCTTGCTGAGACCTCGGTGGAGCCTGGGCATCGGCCCTCACGGGCCACAATAACGCACAATATTCCTAAGTCTGGCATTCGGTGGATCTTGAGGCTACAACTCAACGTGTAACCGAGGGTCTGGCAGCGAGAGGATGAGTGATGCATGAGAGCACGAGGCGGCAGGGGAAGACATGAGGAGGGAGGGGGCGATGCAGGACGCTGCCTCGTCGACGCAGAGGGGCGCACCCCAGGATGTCTGGGAGACTCACGATGGGGGTTGGGAAGGCAATAGAGAGCGCAGGGGGGCAGGACGATAAGTAGCAGGAGAGGACAAACAAATGCAGGAATGAGGGTGCGCCACCGCAACTCCTCTTCCAACGCTGACCGCACGCTGCGCTCGCCAGGCTGCGTTGCTCCACTTGAGCATGCAGGCGAGCAGCTTCCGTCTGCTCTTCGGGCGCGAGCAGCTGAGCACTTCAAATGGTTGACAAACAGTCTGACGCACAGCCCAGTGAGTCTACTATGGTGTATCTCTGCTGACTCATCTACTTTCATGTCCTTGCTCACTATCATTGCCTCATTCTCTACAATCGTTTCGTGCACGCGACCTGCGTACGTTGCAGGCATCAACGATTCATGCGTGCTGTTCTTGACTCTGGGCACGCGCGCAATGCTCCTACAGTCAGACTGTCCGTCGGCAAAGCATTACCGCCAGGATGGACATTCAAGTATGTATACACCTCCCCAACGTAGTGTACGCATGCTCAGCTTGTGGGGAGGGACACGCATGTATGCGATAATGTTTATGCTCGTAATTTGTCCATCCCAGCACTTACCGTCTCAAGTAGGGGCGCGCGTTTCTCGTCACAAGACATCATGTACTCTGCGCGTGCAAACCGATCATCACATACCACGCGTTTTTGAACGTTTACTTCCTGGGCACTCGAGAAATCACATGGATGAAAAACCATACCCTGTGGGTACGCGGACAGATGTCTTGATCAAGAAACTCGCGCCCCTGTCTGCCCCTTGAGAAATACCCCAATTGCTTTGCGCATTCAAAGCAAACTTCTCCAGAGACGGCTCCCTACCTAGCTGCAGCCTCGGCGTTCCATTGGAAAATATGTGCGCGCATGTGCGCCCGAGCTCGTGTAAGGTGTATGCAGAGTTTATGCGGGGTTTATGCGGAGTTTATGCGGGGTTTATGCGGAGTTTATGCGGGGTTTATGCGGTGCGTTTCTGTGATACACTTGTTGAAAAATGAAGGTTGATGAGAAATTTATGCGGAATTTATGTGGAATTTATGCGGAATTTATGCGGGATTTATTTTTTTCAGAACGCCGGTGCGTCCCGGTGTGTACCGGCCTGCGCTCGGTCGTGTTCCGGTGTGTGCTCGCGCGTGCTCGTGCGGTTGTGTGCTCCAGTCGGATTGTATGCGCGCTCGTATTCATGTCATGTATGATGTGTCGAGGCTGCAGCATTTCGAAGCTACTTCGTGCTCGCTGCTGCCTTCCTCACTAGTTGCGCCTTGCGCATGATCACTTCCCTGCCGAGCCAGCCTTGTCGTCCCTATCGATCTTCGCGTGCTTGTGCAGCTTCTTGATGGCGTTCGAGACATCCTCAATTGGGTTGTGCAGGTCAGCATAAGCCTTGAGCACCTTCTTCTCGAAAGACTGGCCCATGTCTTCCTTGAGCTGGTTCAGGTCACCAGCATGAGCTGCGCAGTCACAGAGTCGCCATCGATGATGTTCATCACCTGCGTTGGGCGAAACAAATATGCCGAAGGGCCCAACCCCATGCGAGTCCGAGTGAAGAACAGGACCAACGACGGTGCGATCCCAATGGGGCGGCGATCCGCGCGAGGGAAGTGCCATAATATTGCGACCTTCCCCAGAACAAGGATACAGGTAGGTGTAGGGTGCATGGGCGTAGGGGCCAGGGGCAGGGTGTAGAGATAGAGAATAAGGGTAGGGGATAGTGAAGGGGTATGGGGTAGGGGGTAGGTGATATAGAGGTAGGGTAGTTGGTAGGGGAATAGCTCTAGGGGTGGACGTATAAGGGTAGGGGGTAGGGGCGTGCCGAACTCGCGCGGCGGTCCCATGCGACCTCCCCCCATCTTCCCCATCCCCCCGAAATATATCATTCACCGTTTCCAGGCCCGCGAAACGTACGAGGGGAGGGCAGTGCATCATCGGATGATGGACGGATAGTTGAGACAGATGCAGTAGAGAGGGAATCGGCAGTGGCGCAGCATCGTCAAAACGATCGTCGTTGGGAGATGCGAAGTTTCGAGGAGAGGGAAGCAGGACACTTAGGTGGAAAATGAGGATGGAAGGATGATGCGTCGGGGATAAGAAAGGACAGATATCGAAAGGTGGTCGAAGAGAGGCGGAGCATTGAAAGTGATCGGTGGGCGGTGGAGGTTGGTGGAGGAGGAATATTGTTTGAGCTCCGCTGCACCATAGTGTACTGCCTCGAGAGGGGGCCGCGCATCTCCTCGGAGTCGGCGAACTTCCACTTCGGGTCCTTCGACTCGATCAAGCGGAGGATGATCTTCGCCTGGCCAGACACAGTGGCCCAGAGGGTCTTGAGGTTGCGGAACTTCTTCAGCCACTCAGGAACAGGTTGCGGCTTCGGCCTTGGCTTGCGACCACCAGGCTGCACCGCGCCAGCGTCTCCTGCATCACCGCCTCCTGCATCGCCGCCCTCGTCAGTGCGCCTCTTCTTGCCCTCTGGCTCGCCGTCGCCATCTACGCTCGCAGTTGGCGGATTCGCCGAGTAATCCAGCGTCTCTGGCTCTGGCCCCTTCGCTGCTGCTGGCGCGGCGCTCCCCGCAGCTGGCGGCTGCGCGGCTGGCGCCTCCGCTGGCGTTCCTGCTGGCACCTGCGCCGCGGCTGCTGCCGCTGCACCTGCTGCGTCGCTGCTGCCGTGGAGGCGGACGAGGGACTTGTCGGGGTTCGTGGCGAGCTGCGGAGGGGCCATCCCAGCAGCAGGCGGGTGCGCAAAGGCCGAGAGCGCGGCCCAGTCCGTGCCATGCGGGTCGTGGGACACAGCCTTCGGGATATGTGGCTTGACGACGTCGTTGCCATTGCTGCCGCTGCTGCCACCGTTGCCACTGATGTTGTCAACGGCGTTGGTGCGCCACTCGCTCCACTGGGTCCACGATTGTCCCCACTTATCCTCTAGGTGGTGCTCGATGTGCAAGTAGAGCACGCACTCGCCCATATCGTCCCACTTGACCCAGTGGCCCCCAAGCAGGGTGGCGTTCGTTGCGATCTTCACTGCGCGCCGCATGCCTGCGGCGCCTCCTCCCGATTTGTGCGCTATGCGCTGGAGCGTCATGTAGGTGCCGCGCTTGGTCTCGGTCTTGGTGTTCTTGACCTCGTGCTTGAAGCCCTGGGTCTTGAACCAGGCCTCATACTCCTTCTTGGCCCACTGCCTGCGAACCTCACGCTGGGCTGGCCATCCTTTCGCCTGCGCGTACTCGGCCTGCACGGCTGCGTCAGTGCGAAGAGCATACCCCCAGCGTGCGCCAATCGCGTTGTCCTTCCCCGTCGAGGTCGGCACGTTAAAGTTCTCGCTCTTGACTTTGTCCCACATGTTCTTGGTCTTGAGCTCCCTCGCGCTGAACTCGGTCGAGCCCTTAGATTCCTCTTCCTGTGCGGCTGCCCGCCCCTGGGCATGGCGCAACTTCTGGACCTCCTGCAGCCTCTGGTCCTTGAAGAAAGCAGCGAGCTTCTGCGACATGATCTCGGCGCATGTCTGGGGGTCGTCACTGCTGAGGGACTCTAGCTTCTGCTGGATCATGCTGACTTCGATGTCGACGGCCTTCAGCAAGGTGGACGCAGTCAGCTCGTCGTTGGTGGCGTTCACGTTCTGCGGCGGCGCGGTGATATCTGCTGGCTTCAAGTCCTCAGCCGGTTGCTCGAGCTCGTGCTGCCTGAGCTTCGCACTGGCCAACTTATCTGGCTCGCTGGGCTGGGGAGTCTGCTCGGCGACGCTCGGCGCTATTGACGGCTGACGGTCAGGAAGGTCTGCATACGCCGCCGCCTCCGCTGCCTCCCGCGCCGCCTCCTCTGCCTTTGCCCGCGCAGCACGGGCCTCGGCTTCCTGCGACAGCCCGTCATCAGCAACTTTGCCCACATCATCGCCGCCATCGACAGGCTCCTGCGCGGCTGCCTGCGGAGCTGGAACACCAGGCGCATCACAAGCAACTGAAGCTCCTGAGGCAGGAGGGGGGTGGCATCGCGAGGAGGAGGCGCGGGTTGAGGCGGGAGGTGGATCCTCACCCCAGCTTCCCTCACATTCTCTTCCTCCAACCATCCACCCTCTTCCCTTCTCCTCCTCCTCCTCATCCTCCTCCTCCCCCTCCTCCTAGGGAGCTCCTCCTCTTCCTTGTATCCCTTCACCTCCACCTCCTCTCCCTCGCCGTCGTTCTCCTCCTCCCCCTCCCCATCGCCGCCCCCTGCTCGCTCCTCATCAACAGCGTTGCCGTCTGTCTTCGTTCCTCCCCGTCCCTGCACCCCTATCCCCCCGATATCTCCCTCTCCTCTCCTTCTCCTTCTCCTCCTATGGTATCCGATGTCCTGCCGCTTTGCCGTCGGGCAGGTGCTGCGAGAGCGGCTCGTCGTCGCTGGAGATCAGCATGGGCTCCTGCGTGGACCGCGCAGCAGGGGGCGCGGGCGAGAGGGGGGGGCTCGCCTATCTTCAAGCACCCTCGACTCGTCTTACCTCTCCTCTTTCCGAGAGCCCAGACTCCCCACTCCATCCCCCTTGGCATTCCATCGTTCTCCTCCTTCTCCTCCTTCTCCTCCTCCTCCCCCTCCTCCTCTCCCTCCTCCTCCCTCTCTCCTCCACCTCCTCCTCCGCTGCATTGACCCCGCTTTCATTATGTGCTCACCTCGTCCTTAAGTTCTGTGTTCCTCCTCTTCCTCCCCCTCCTCCTCCCGAAACCAAATCAAGTGTAGTATCGCCCGTGATCCTCGCCAGTCGCCGTCGTGCTCGCCTCCTGGCCCGCCGCGAAGGCCGTCTGCTTGAAGGGCGCCTTGGGCGGGAGCGGTGAAAGCCAGCTGAAACTTTATGATAACTTTCTTGGAAGTTTATGCGGATTTTATGCGGATGTGGTTTCGCACCGCCCTGGACGAGGAAGAGGAGGAGGACGAGAAGATGAGATAGGAAGGAGGATGGGGAGGAGGAGGGCTGGGAGGAGGAGGAGGAGGAGGAGGAGGAGGAGGAGGAGGAGGGAGGGGGCAGGGTAGCGTCGAAGCCTGGGGGGAGCTGACAGCAGCCCCCTGCCCCCCTCCTCCTCCCCTCCTCCTCCTCCTCCTCCTGCTCCTCCTCCTCCTCCTCCTCCTCCTCCTCATCCCCCTCCTCTCCTCTGTCACCCGCAGTTGCCTCCTGGAACGAATCGACAAGCGTTGCGCCGTCTGCCATCTCGCTCGTCGACCAACGACCCTGCTTCGTGGCCTCGATGCCGCGGCGGGCGCGCTCGGCCTCCCTCATCAGCTCCGCTCCGATCTCACCATCCTTGGCTGGCACCGTGCTGCTGGCATCAGCGCTGGGGCTGCCGCGATGAGGGGAGCGGCTCCTCGTCATCGGCACTCTGCGGATGTACGTTCGAATGTCTCTGAACATCCAGGTCAATGACTTGACCCGCTTCGCTGCGGAGGAATGGCAACGATAGTTTGCATCGCACGACGCAGGGGCGAATAACCCAGACATTGAGGAGCTTGGCGGGAGGAGGTGGGTGATGAAGGGAATCCAGGGATGACGATACCCCATGATGCACGGGCCGACGGCGCATTTGGCAGCTATAAGGTTACCCCAGGAATTGTAATGTGGGAGGGCTCGGACTGCAACGACGCTAACGTGGAAACTGCAGGAAACCTCAAGGACACCCGAACCCCCATTGAGGAAATAGTAATGTCGAATCGCGGCGCAGGCTAAGTCAAGCCAGTTACGCCATGCAAGCGCTGTTTTTGGTGCTAGTGCGAGTACAGTGGGCGATCATATCGCACGCAAACTCGCAGCAACAAAAAATCAAAAGAAACCGTCGCCGATGGAGGGCACGCACCATCCCTGGGCCTCACCTGCCTCGTTCTGGGCAGGCGCCGCGCTCCTGGCCCCGCCCTTTGGAGGTGCCTGCGCCTGCTGCGGCGCCTGCTGCGGCGCCTGCTGCAGCGCCTGCTGGGGCGCTGCCGCTGCGCTGCTACCCGCTGGGGCGTCACCTTCAGGATCGGGCGGCGGCTCGGCGGCACCGGCAGCCGCGCCGCCCGCAGGGGCTGCTGACTCGTGGTCGGAGTTGGCGGTCTTCTGCATCTTGGAGGGCTTCCTCAACACGGCGGCCGAGCACGCAGCAGCGGGCCTCTTCATCGCGAGCGGCCCTTCATCATGACTTGGAGCATCCTCCTCTTCCTCATCCTCAGGCTCGTTGTGCGAGGCAGCTTCCTCCTCTTGATCCTCACCATCGTGGTCGCCATCATCGAGCTGATCCTGCAGCTCCTCCTTCACGGCGGCCGCGGCCGCGGGCCTCCTCATCGCTGCAGCGGCTGGCGTCGCTGCAGCGGCTGGGCGCTTCTTGGCGATGCCGCCATGATCGTCCACCCAGCTCTTCTTGGCCTCCTGCACAGCCTCTTTGGTCATCTCCCCGCTGGCGAACTTCTTCCCGATGTCGACCATGAAGCTCTCCACCTCGCGCAGCTGGTGCTGCGGCTGCACCGTGATCTGCGAGACCATCGTTTTGGAGCCGCCGCTCTCCTTGATGAACTGCCACAGCGCGACGAACACCTGGTCTCCCCGAGTGTACCTGTCCACCAGGATGCGGCGCTTCTCGGAGTCATGGCCTTGCCACAGCCACCCAGCGCCCTTCTTGGACCTGCCCCCAGCTGTCTCCTCCCCTGCGGCGAGCGCGCCATGGCTCAGCCCTGGCACGATCCACTCGTCGTTGTCGTCCCAGCGCGCGGTGACGGGCGCGTCAGCAGCCTGCGTGGGATCGCACCGCATCACAGCGCTGTAGTCCAGCTTGCCCTTCGGGTTGTTCGCGTCCTTGCGCCAGGCAGCCTATCGGGCTGTGCGCAGATCAACTCATGATATCATATGTTCACCCTGCTCATGTCATCCATCCTCCTCTCTGCTCCCCCTCTTGTCCGTCCTCTTCTCCCCCGTGTCGCTCTGCCTCGTCTGATCAGCTCCTCGCCTAGATTTCTCGGCTTTGAAGACTACGCTCTCCTCATCATCCCCCACGTCCGCCTCCTCCTCCGTCTCTGTCCCTCTCCTGCCATTCTCGCGTATCCCTGATCCGACCCCATAGCATGTCACTGTTTATCCTCTCTCTCCCGCTCTCTCTCTCTCTCTCTCTCTCTCTCTCTCTCTCTCTCTCTCTCTCTCTCTCTCTCTCTCTCTCTCGTCTCTCTCTCTCTCTCCGATCCTGTTTACTTTTCGGTATGTGTAGTTTTTGTTTCTCTCTCTCTCTCTCTCTCTCTCTCTCGATCTATTGCCATATCCCCTATCGTGCTCTCTATCTCTCTCTCTTTCCCTTTCTCCCGCTCCCGCTGTCACTCCTCCGTCTGTATTTGCCTTCCTCCTCTCACTCAATCCTACCGCTCCTCCTCCTCCTCCTCCTCCTCCTCCTCCCCCTCCTCCTCCCCCTCTCCCTCCTCCTCCTCCTCCTCCTCCTCCTCCTCCTCCTCCTCGTCCTCATCCACCTCTTCCTCCGTCTCGTCGCCCTCCCCCCCTGCTTCGCGGCCTCCTCCTGCCCCTCCTCCCTCCTCCTTTCGCGCCTGCATCTCCTTGCTGTACCCGTACGTCCACTCGATGGGCGTGGCGCCCTCCTGGGGAACGGGGGGATGAGTGGCGCGTGCGGGGGCAATGGTAAGGATGCGAGCTGGTCTGGCATATTGGTTCGACATGCGACGATCGGTCGACGCGCGGCGGTCGATCGATCGAGGGGCACGGCGACCGCCGACCCCCCCCCACCCCCCCCAGGCGCACGACGATTGACCACCTAGGGTTGGGGCCGTGCGACGATGGGTCGAGGGGCACGGCTGCCGCCGCCCCCCATTCGCTCCTCTCCTCGACCTCGCTCTTCCGAGCCCCCTATCTCCCCCCCGCCCTCTCCACGCCTCCCCCCATTCTTTCCGTCCCCCGACGCACTCCTTTGCCCCTCCCCCCCGTCTCATCATCCTCCACCTTCTACTCCGCCTTCCCAGCCTCCTCCTCATCCTTCTTTCCCTCATCCCCTCTTCTCCTCGCGGCTGCTGCTGCTGCTCATCCTCCTCCACCTCCTCTTTACTCGTTTCGCCCAGCGAGGATCCTTCTCGACGAAGGTGATGAGCCACGACGGCTTGCTCCCGCGGCTCCTCGCCAGGTGGGCAGGGGGGTCGGAGGGCGCACGGCGCAAGGCAGGGTTGGGGCGAGGATGGCGCGAGGAGAGGGAGAGAGGGAATGAGGCGGAGAAGGAGGATGAGAAGCAGGAACAGCGGAGCAGGAAGATAAGGAGGAGGAGGAGGAGGTTCCTCCCGTCACCACTCCTCCATATCCTTCTCCTCCTCCTCCTCCTCCTCCTTCTCCTCATTCTCCTCCTCCTCCTCCTCCTCCTCCCCTCCTCGCCCTCCTCCTCATCCTCCCCCATCCTCCCCCTCGTCCCACTCACCCCCTTAAATTTCTCACGATGGTGCGGGGGGGGGGTGCTACTGGGGTTATCCAGGATTCATTGGGCGATCGGCTGTCCTGAAGCGCACCATCGCCTGCTCGACGTGCCGCATCATCGCGCGGAGCCGGCGCGCCACGCGAGTGCACCAGTCCGACATGCCATCGGCGAGGTGCCAGGTGTCCTCGTGGAAACTCGCCAGCGCCTCCAGCTGCTTCACGAGCGCGGCCTCACGAGGAAGGAATGGAGAAGGAGAAGGAGACATGGAGGAGACATGATAGAGAAGGAGCAGGAGAGTTACGAGCCTGCGTCAAGCTCGTCGCGGGCTTCACGGCCACCCGCAAGGCCACGATGAAGTCAGCCCACTTCACCAGCGCCTCAGGGTCGATGTCGCCCTCGAGGTCGCCAGTGTAGTCCTCGAGCTCCGTCGGTTCCTTCAGGAAGTCCGTCAGCACGCTCAGGACCTGCGCGGCGTCGCCACGCGCCCTCGGCGGCATCGCGCCCAGGGCGACGGGCCAAGAACAGGCCGCGCGCGGCAAGCCAAGATTGCCGCGACATCGAGGGTTGAGAAACTGACCCTCGCCCAGAAGGGTTGGAACGGTGCAGGTGAACAGGGGAGGGGGAGGAGGCAGGAGGAGGGGCACGGGCGAGAAAGAGTGGCAGGATAAGTGTTGAAGCGACGCAAGGGAAAGAGATTGCGTAGGTAAAGTGCAGCAAAGGGTGCAGCAGCGACACCTGGGACGGGGATGCAGCAACATGAGAGGGGAGGTATCTACTTGGACCTGGAGAACCTCATGCTTTGCCTGCTGCTTGCTTGCTGCATTGCTGGTCGTTCGGGGTGTTTCGTGTTTTGTTTGAGGATGTCTCGCGCGAAACGCTAACTTCTGTATGTGCAGGCTGTCTCGAGCGAAACGCTACTTTCTGTAAGTATATGTATACATATATATATATTCTCAAAAATAAGATGTTATATGATGTTGGGTGTGGTATCTTATTTTAAGATGCTCAGCACCTCTGGGGGGTGTCTCCGTGTCCCGGTTGGCGTTCTGCCCGCCGCGGGTCCTCGGGCGGGGCTTCGGTCCCTTCCGGAGTGCAGCCATGCGGGCATCCACCGCCGCGGGCGTCACGAGGGGGAGCTTGTGGAACCCTCCGAAGCGGAAGAAGAGCAACCTGGTCTCCATGGGGAGGCCCTTCAGATCGTTGATCTTCTGGTGGGCGTCCCGGCAGCCGCTCCCCCGCCAGCGCGTGCTGTGGCAGTTGAAGGGGATGCAAATCCTCTTGCCCTGCGGGTTCTTAGGGATACCCGCCAGGGCCGCCTTGTGCCCCTCCGCCTCCAGGGCCGTGCCGATGGGGCACTGCGGGTTGTCGTCCTGGCCGGCGCGTCCCGCCGGGGGCGGGGGTGGCACCTTCGCTCTGCTCGTCCGCGAGAGGGCAGACAGGGCGGACCGTTGCTCCCAAAACTTACGGGACACCACCCGGGCCCGAAAGAACCCGTTGGGGTGGTCCAGCTGGAAGGAGAGGGGCATCTGGAATCGCGGCTGGCCTCCCGGCCCCTCCAGGAGGTGGAGCCTGAACTCCTCCTCGGTGGGGTTCTGGTTTCTGAGGTCGTGGAGGGCCCGCTGGACGATCAGTCGGATGCCGTCCCACCAGTCCCAGTGGAGCTCCTCCCAGATCGCGAAGAGGTCCCCCTCCGTCCACTGGTTGGGGTCATCGAGGTTGAGCTGCACCAGCCTCCTCAAGGCGTCCCGCCTCTCCCTCTCGTGGTCTTGGCCGTAGAACAGGCAGAAGGTGGTGATGCTCCGGTGGGCCTGGTCGGTCCAGACGGCGAGGATCTTGGTCCAGGCGGGACGCTTCTCCATGTGGGTGGGGTCCGAGTGCGGGATGAACCGTTCGAACTCCTCCCGAGTGGTCCGCGGGAAGTCCGATGCTCCCAGGGGCCACTTGGCCATCCGTTCCAGGTCGCGGCCCCCCCAGAAGCCCCCCGCGATGGCGTAGGCAACCCAGTTCACGACCAGGATGGGGCAGCCTCCCTCGTGCATGATCATCCAGCGTCCGTCTCCTCCCCTCCGGGCTGCGTCGCACAGCTCCCTTCCGACGAGGCCCGGGCAAGGGGCGACGTAGAAGGCGTTGAACCCCCGGGCGGTGTAGACCGCCAGCCGGCACTCCGTCGTCTTGAGGTAGCCCAGGGGGCCCTCCACGTTCTTGGAGTCGTCGGCCTCCATGCGCTGGGAGAGGTTGAGGTGCTGAACCAAGAGGCGGGTGTTCGGGTCAGTGAGAATCCCCGCCTGCCCTTCCCCCCTGCCCCGGCGCGTCCTGTGGTGCCCCTCGGTGGGGCGATCCCGTGAATGGCATCCCACTGCGCAGCGGGCGGGAGGGGGTTCGAGCCACCGGACGGCGCGGGGCGCGTGTCGCGGTATTCCCCCTCGGGGAGGCTGGTGAAGACCCCCTCCATGACGCCCGGAGGTTGGAGGGCCTGCGCCGGTGAGGGCGGGGGGGGTCTCCCTGCTGGGGTAGGCCCCTCCTGCCCCTTCTGGAGCAGGCGCTTCTCGCGGACGTGCCGCAAGAGCTTGCCGAGGGCGGCCTGCTCCTCCCGCCCCAGCGAGGCGGGGTTGCGGAGGGCGGTCGCCTCCAACTCCTCCGCGCACGGAGTGACCAACGCCAGGCAGGTGTCCGGGTCCTCGCCGTAGTAATCCTGGGCCGCCTCAAGTGCGGCCTCCACTCCAACGCCGTCCTGGACGGCGGAGAGGAGGGCCTCGAGGAGCCAGACCACCGCCGAGGGCTCCCCCGACGGGTCGCGGGAGGCGCCTGTGGAGGGGGCCCCTCCCTCACGAGCCGGAGGGCACGGTGAGCTTCCCCGGCGGGTGTTCCTCCCCCGTGGGGGGTACTCTTCCCCGCCCGAGGCTTGGCCGGGCTCCTCGTCCATACGCCGGGCACTCCGATGGCGCCATCGGTCCAGCTCCCGGGAGTTCAGCAGCAAGACCACCTCCTGGACCCCGCCTGCCCCTCCGGAGGGGGTCTTCCCTTCCTCTGTCAGGGCGCTCCATTCTGGTTTAGTCACTTCGACGAACCAGGCAGGGATCCCTCCCGGGGGGGGGGAGGGCCTGTCCCGGGTGACGGATCTGACCGATCGGGACGGAGTAGCGAAGGCCGAGGGCGGCGAGGTGGACCACTGCCTCACCCGGGGGGTGGCCTGCTGGTGGCTCCCCCCCCTCCCCCCGGAAGACAAGATAGTGCTCGGCCGGGGGCTGTTTCCCACGCCCCCGAAGGGCTTCCTCCTCGCGGCGAATGTGGCCCAGGAAGAGGCGGCCAACCGCATCGCGCGGGTGGATGATGGGAGACAGCGGGGTTAGAGGGCCCGGAGGGGGGTCCTTCGAGGAGGCCGGCAGTCCCTCTCCCGGCCGCCCCTGGGGGGGGCCGGCGGACTGCGCCGCATGGAAGGCGCAGAGGAGCCTCCCATCCACCTGCAGGGTCCCGATCTCGTCGCACGGGGGGGGGCCGCGAAGGCGCAGAGGAGGTGCTGGCGGGCAAGCCGGTACATGCGCTTGTGCCGGGCGCATAGGGGGGCCAGAACGCGCCCGCTCAGCCGCTCCCATCCGGTGATGTCCGACTGGGGTTAGTCCTCGACCAGGAGGAGGGTGAACACTTCGTCTGGGGGCTCCGGGCACGGGGCGCGGAGGCCGAGGGTGCCCAGGGTGCTTCCGGGTTGGCGCCAGCCCAAGCGGCCCCCACCGCACGTCCCGATGGTGGGCCCCTCGCTCTCCGACTCGAGCTGGCGATCCCGGGGCCTCCCCGCTCCGGCTGCCGTTCTCCTT